AGGGGAGGAGGGCTGTTTGCCAACGTATAGGAAGCCCAGCTGAACAACTGTACTTAACTAGCGAGCTATTCCTGTAAATATTTGCAAACGCCCCTTCAAAGCTCAAAAGCCTAGGACAGGATCATTGGATGATTTGCTTAGAAGAAGAAGAAACAAAATTGACCTCATGGTCCGAGGCAGCCATAAAAAGAAAGAGTGTGGATAGGCAGAGGACCAGAAAAGGGAGAAAAAAATGGTCCAAAGTTTAATAAACACAAAAGAGATAAAAATAAATCTCAAGAGCACTTATTTACAAACTTGATAGAAGGATAAGATGGAGGCGGATGGGTGTGAAAGATGGGTGTTTGTGAAAGTGGAAGAGGCCTGCAGGGATTCCACTGAAAGAGGGGGGAAATGAATGAGATGTTTATTCTTCCTAACGACAGGAAACACGCTAAATTAGCTTCGCTCTTCCAGGATGCGCCTTCAAAGATGTTTGAAGCTTCTGCTGTCTAATGCAGAGGCTATGTGAAGATGAATGCATCATCAGCCTGTGGAAGGTTTTGGCCAAGAGGGTGTGCAAAGCCAGAGAGCCTGGCCCTAGGCTGGCCTAGGGTGCTCTGGGCGTCTAGCCTGTTTTCAGCTGAGCTGGTCAGCACAGTACCAGCTGTTCCAATCATGGGGGCGCGCATATTTCAGAGGAGAAAAAGTTCTATTTGTTCTCGCAGCTACCTTGTCAAAATGCTGTGCTAGGGGGCTCCAAAGCCTTTCTGCGCATACCAGTGTTCCCTCGCCGGGAAGCTGCCCACCAGCTAGTTTGCAGTGGGATACACTGGGGCATCACCGTGTCTGCATGAATACTTTTTTTCTCTGAAACCTGAATACTTTGGATTTTTGGGGTTTTTTGTTTGTTTGTTTGTTTCTGAGACTTCTGACTCATGGGTTACAAAGCCTCAATTCACACAGTCATTTATGAACCAGTATGGAGCAGACTGGTGTAGAAATCCTCGCTTTCTCCATGAGGCTGTGTTCTGAGAGTCACACTTATGTAGGTGAAGGAGAAGGGTTGGGAGAAAGTTCCTATGAAGGAAAAAATTCAGGGCTCTTAAGGAGAGAACATGTTGGTGTGTTCCTAGCATCTTTTCTTCTTCGGTGTAATCGTCAGGGCATGGATTTCCCAAGAAATCACGGAAGGTATTTATTTCTATTTTAAGATCGGTGAGATGGCTCATTTATTTAATAAGAAGTTAGCACTGCCAACAGTCAGATGCCTGAGTCTTTGAAGAGACTCCTGTTGATGACCAACTATGCAAATAGGATATTTGGTGAACTCCATGTATACAGAACCCTGCTCCAGATACATGGGAAAGAAGAAAGACTTGGCAAATGCAGTCTCTGCCCTCGAGATTCTTAAAATTTCACAGGGGGAACAAAATAAACAAATGTAATGCAGAAGTCATAAAAACGTTTATAAAGACACATGAACAACTGTGAATGATTATTTGTAATGAAGTCAGATAATTGAAGAGTGAGTAGAAAGAAATGGAGCCACCAGAGTTGGATGGAACATTCTGGAAGGGGGAAAAGAGTGTCCAGGGGATTTTGGAAGAAGATTGTAGAAACATACCTGCAACAAGTGGCCTGTACAGTGTAGGTGCTTAATAAATGAATACTGTCTTTGAAAGCGTGGAGTTAGAATAGGACCTGCTCTGGTCTTGGTATAGTCTCAGTTGTATATTCAAAGGCATTGGCAGATTACTAAAAAGAATCCCAGCAAAACCCTAAAGCAACCCAGGAGCTTTATTGATTGATTGATTCATTCATTCATTCATTTTTGAGATGGAGCCTCACTCTATTGCTCAGGCTGGAGAGTAGTGGTACAATCTGGGCTCACTGCAACCTTCGCCCCTGGGGTTCAAGCAATTGTCCTGCCTCAGCCTCTGGAGTAGCTTGGATTACAGGCATGTGCACCATGTCTGGCTAATTTTTTTATTTTTAGTAGAGATGGGATTTCGCCACGTTGGCCAGGGCTGGTCTCAAACTCCTGACCTTAAGTGGTCTGCCTGCTTCGGCCTCCTAAAGTGCTGGGATTACAGGGTGAGCCACTGCACCTCGGCTTCCCAGGAGCTTTAAATTGTCATGTACTATCAGCAACCCTGTATTTTACATGGTTTAGAACTGAAGGAATTTGTGCCGATTCTTTTTCTTGATTAGCCAGGATGACCTCCCACCAACAAACATTATCCTCAATAAAGAATTTTCATACTAGAGCTGGTATAAGCTAGTATGTGGGCTATGCTTTTGTTTATTCAGATTTCCTCACCATAACTTGACTAGAGATTATGTTAAATCATACGTGTGTGAAAAACTAAAATATGAAAGCCAAAGGAGATTCGATACATGAACCCAGTTAAAAGAAGATTATTTGGATGCCAAACTTTCAAGGGAAAAAAATACATGGGCAAACTGCTTGCCATTAGGAACTATTTTCTTGGCACATCTGATTAAAGTGTATGCAGGCCTGACAGCTCTCCCCAGGCATCAACTGTCATAAACTTGTTCCAATTCAAAACCATCTAGGATTTTCCACCACTCTGTCAACCTTCAAAGGATGGGGTTAACTGCATGCTTTCATATGGAGTTGGACGTGGTTTGTTAATCTCTATTAATTTGCTGCTCCTGTAACTAAACACACATGTTTATTTTATTTCTCCTTTTTCTGGTTAAATTGTTAATGGTACTAAATTGGCCATCGGAAACTAAATCATTCTGTAGATATTTCCCTTATGGTTTCCTGGGATTATCTCACGCTATGGTCTTTTTTGAAAATACAATGGATTTTATCATTTTCAATGATTGCCCTAACTTTTTACAGATGCCATCCCGCCCACTTTCTACAGACCCTACTTCAGAATTGTCCGATTTGATGTCTCAGCAATGGAGAAGAATGCTTCCAATTTGGTGAAAGCAGAGTTCAGAGTCTTTCGTTTGCAGAACCCAAAAGCCAGAGTGCCTGAACAACGGATCGAGCTGTATCAGGTAATGTTCATTTGGGGTATTTTTTTTTTTTTTTTGAGACAGTCTGTCTCTCTCTGACACAGGCTAGAGTGCAATGGCATGATCACAGCTCACTGTAATCCTGAACTCCTGGGCTCACTCCTCTTGCCTCAGCTTCCTGAATCACTGGGACTGCAGGAGTGTACCACCACACCCAGCTATATTTTTAAAAAACTTTTTGTAGATATGGGGTCTCACCGTGGGGTCTCACCGTGTTGCCCTGGCTGGTCTGGAACTCCTGGCCTCAAGTGATCTTCCTGCCTTGGCCTCCCAAAATTTGGGGATTACAGACATGAACGACCATGTTTGGCTCATTTAGATTGTTTTAGTGGGCAATCAATTTGAGGTCTTAGAGTAAAAGAATTCTAGTGTCTTAGATTTTCTTAGCTGATCTATAAGCCATTCTATAAATTCACAATCATGATATACGCCCTCATTTGCTAGTACTGTTATAGTAATGGCTTGTTCCTAATCACTCAGGAAGGAAGAACCTTTAGAATGAAGCGTTGAAGCTCTGAGCACACTTCATGTTGCATGAACAGCCAGAGTGTATGTACTCTTGAGGGGGTTTGCTTCCAGAAGTCGACCCCTTAAACTGGAAAGTCAGATAACGTAGGTCCAGTTCCTTCCTGAGGAGTGGTCAGCTGACCTTCCTTTTCTCTCCTGTGGCTGTTCCTTTCTCCTTTTCTATGATTTTCTCTTTGTTTTTCTATCGTCTTCTGTCTTCCTGTGTTTTTCACTTTCTTCTTCCTCTCTTTGCAACCTTCTGTCTCCCTCTTTTTTTTTTTGGAGACGGAGTCTTACTCTGTCGCTAGGATGGAGTACAGTGGTGCAGTCTCAACTCACTACAACCTCCGCCTCCCAGGTTCAAGTGATTCTCCTGTCTCAGCCTCCTGAGCAGCTGGGATTACAGGCATGCGCTTCCACACCCAGCTAATTTTTGTATTTTTAGTAGAGACAGGTTTCTCCATGTTGGCCAGGATGGTCTCGATCTCCTGACCTCATGATCCACCTGCCTCAGCCTCCCAAAGTGCTGCTATTACAGGCACGAGCCACTGCGCCCGGCCTGCAACCTTCTGTCTCTTTATTAACCTTATTGCATTTCCTTTTCCTTTCTAATTCTGCTTACTATCTCCAGTCCACCCACCAAACACACACACACACACACACACACACACACACACACACACACACACACACACGCCCCTCTGGGTACCCCCTTTCCTCCATTATTTGGACAGCCCTGACGTCTACTGTTCTCATATTTCTAGTAGAGTGAAGTTGGTGGGCAGCTGTGTCAAATTATGATGATGATGTTGAAATGTTAGTTTACTGAGATTTTCAGAGATGTTCTTAAAAGCTTGTTACCGGAGTGTAGTCCACAGGGTATTTGCATCCGCATCACCTGGGGGCTATGAGAAATGTAGACTCTGAGGCCCCACCCCACACTTTACAGAATCAGAATCTCCATTTAAGATTCCCAGGTGCTTCTTGTGCACAGTAAAGGACCACTCAACAAATCCTGAGTCTGGTGCAACCTTGTAAACAGGCAACTTAATACATCCTGGTGCTGTATGAACAGTGGTACTCGCATATAGGGTATAGGTAGGGAAATTTCACCAGGGAGCTGACATTTTGGTGAGGCCTTGAGAAGTATCTATTAAAACAGGATGAGGGACCGTCATTCTTGGCAGGAAGAGCAGCCAGTGCAAAGACAGTCTTGCATGGGCTTGCTGAGGGTACCTGGTACATGGATGGCACTCAGTGCCCGGAGGTGAGGAGAGACGGGGAGAAGGTGGCTCTCCAGGGAGAGTGTGTGGAATGACACTGCAGAGGATTAAGAACAAACCCTTTGGGATCCCCGTGGTAAGGGGTGGTAGACATGTATGACAATATGATTAAAACATGGGATTCCTTGAGAAAAAGAAATTGGCATCTATGTGCAGAAACCTTTAGTTTTTCTGGACTCTAATCATATGGAATTTTTGATAATTAGGATCAAAATTTTCTTTGTATTTATTATGAGAATGGAGAGCTACCATACAAATGTATATGAGACCTGAAGAATAGTTTAAAATACTTAAAGCAGTCATTTTGTTTTCTTTTTCTGTTTTTTGAGACAGCACCTTGCTCTGTGGTCCGGGCTAGAATGCAGTGATGCAGTCATAGCTCACTACAACCCTCAACTTCCAGGGCTCAAATGATCTGACAGGGGTGTGTCCCCACGCCTAGCTAATTTTTAAAAAAATTTTTAGTAAAGACGGGGTCTCGCTTTGTTGTCCAGTCTGGTCTCAAACTCCTGAGCTCAAGCGATTGTCCCACCTCGGCTTCCCAAAGTGCTGGGATTACAGGCATGAGCCACTGTGCCCCAGTTTGAACTCAAATGAGCCAGAAAAAAAGAGGTCATATTGATGACCCAGTTTTAAAGTACTAGTTCACATGTGTGTTCATGTTGAATAATTCTTTCTTATTTAAATGGGTCCTCAAGAACTTGTTTTTGGAGAACTTTAAATCCTAACTTGCATTCTGGGTAGCACCAATGGGCCAGCCATTGCTTCTCACCCCCAGGTCAGACAGAGAGCATGCTTGTGTGACCAGATGCTATGCTGAGCAAACAATCCGCAAGTATTGTTCCCGGTGATACTCATAGCTATTCTATGAAGTTTGCACAATGAAGTATTCTTTTTTTTTTTTTTTTTTTTTTGAGATGGAGTCTTACTCCTGTTGCCTAGGCTGAACTGGGCTCAATGGCATGACCCTGGCTCCCTGCAACCTCCACCTCCCTGGTTCAAGCAATTCTCCTGCCCTAGCCTCCCGAGTAGTTGGGATTATAGGCACCCGCCACCATGCATGGCTAATTTTTTTGTATTTTTAGTAGCAATGGGGTTTCACCATGTTGCCGAGGCTGGTCTTGAACTCCTGACATCAGGTGATCCACCCACCTCGGCCTCTCAAAGTGCTGGGATTACAGGCATGAGCCACCACACCCAGCTTCAAGTATTCTTTCTGCTACTATATTCTTTCTCCATTTCACAGAGAATGATGCTAAATCCTAGAGAAATTAAGTAACTTGGCCAGAGTCACACAGGTAGGAAATGGCAGGGCTGGGATACAAACCCACCTCTGACTCCCAAGTCCCTCCTGCTCCTCACTACATACTATGCTATTCCTAACAAAATTTCCCCTTTCTCTTACCCTCGGGATCAGCCAGAATAGAATAATAAGAAGACAAACTAGGCTAGAGGATGAAATAATATTTGGAGGGAAAGCAAAAACTGGTTCCTATGGAAAAAAAGCCAGATTAAGGGTAGCTGGATAAATTACAAGATGATTTAAACAAACAAAAAACATGATTATGTCTCCTTTTTTTCCCCTCTTTTTTTTACCAATGAAATCACTCTTAAATTTCCTTCTGTACTGACGACAGCCTCATAGGTTGCTCTCTTTGGTCCTACTTTAGTTACATGACTTCAGTAAATTGAAGGCAGGGTCTTCTGGATGTTGTTGACTGTAATGTAAGCTGCTAAGTCACTATTATTTTGTGGCCCCTTGACCCTGTCCTCTGAAGAGTAGCCTCTGCCAGCAAGCTCGCCAATGACTGTTTTCCTTCCAGAGCCCATCTCATCTCCAGGAAAGGGTGTTTCTCTTGAGGCTGGCAACTTAGAGGAGGACCTTAGTGAGTTCTTGGTGAATGTGTCTCAGAGGTTCCTGCAGCACTGGCTGCTCCATGACTCAAGCAGCAAGATCTGCATGGCTTAGAGTCCCTCAGTTGAAAGAGGAGCAGCCCAAGATGGAAGCTTTTAGTTTGGAGAGGCATGGGCATGTTCGCTGTCACTAAACATGGGCATCTGGAAGAAGAAAGTTATAGCAGAAAAATATAAAACAATAGCATTTTTAAAACCTTTCTGGGGCTCAGCCGTACACCTGCTGAAACACAGACAAGGTCTAGAGAGCAAGTCAAAGAGATTCTTGAACACCCGAAGAGAAGACAAAGCACACGCACCGTTGACAGATCAGAAGGGCAGCCTCTTGCTTTTTATTGTTTCATCTAGGTTGATTGTCTGGAGGATTGCAGGACATTAGAAGCACTGAGTTAAGAGGGTTTAAGGAAAATAGGCTGACAGCAGCAGCAGGTCCTTTAGACCCACAGTCCCTGACCTTTTTGGCACCAGGGACCAGTTTCGTGGAAGACAATTTTTCCACGGAGCATTGCTTTTATTGTGCACTTTATTTTATTGTAATATATAATATAATAATTATACAACTCACCATAATGTAGAATCAATGGCAGCCCTGAGCTTGTTTTCCTGCAACTATACGGTCCCATCTGGCAGTGATGGGAGATGGTGTCAGATCATCAGGCGTTAGATTCTCATAAGGAGCGTGCAACCTAGATTCCTCATGTGTGCAGTTCACAATAGGGTTCTTGCTCCTTTGAGGATCTAATGCCACTGCTGATCTGACGGGGTGGAGCTCGGGCGTTACTGCAAGCAATGGGGAGTGGCTGTAAGCACAGATGGAGCTTTGCTTGCTTGCCTGCTGCTCACCTCTTGCTGTGTGGCCCAGTTCCTAATGGGCCATGGACCAGTACCGTCCAGATTTGGACTAAAGATTTTGGCCAGTGCATCACAGCAACACTATCAGATTATCAGGTCACAGAAGCAATGCCTGTTGTGGACAAGTTTTCTAAATCTTACCTTGTTGTTAGTTAACCTACTCTTCATCTCCTTGGCTTCCTGTCTGACTTCTGACTTTTGCTTCTGTCCTCTTTATTTGGAGTCCCATTTTTAGCATGGTGTTCTCCAACTTTCCTCTTGTCTCCAGCTGCCATTTGGAGGTCTTTGTAGTCTTTGGTAATCAACTCCCATCTCTCCCATGGCAGGAATTTATGCCTATGATAATAGCGTTGAATTATGAAGATGAGGCTAAATTATAGTCAGGAAACGGAACACATGCAAGAAATTTTACAGAGTTTCACATCC